TCCAATAAACTTGAAAACAGACTCACAGGAAACGGCAAGACAGACCAGAGTTCCTTCTCTACCCCACAGAAACCACTGGGCGAGATTCTGCAAGTGCTCACCAATAGTCTCAAATCTAGAAGGAGGAAAACTGAGTGGGTATCATTGTGGTTTAACTGAAGAGTAGGAGAAACAGTTGCTGGGAAAGATCAGGTGAAGAGGGAAATTGATCAAGTGGCCAACTTTCTTTTTGCCCCAAAGTCAGGGCTTTTATTTAATTTGTTATGTGCTTTGAACACTGGGGTAAGTAAGACACCCGAAATCTCAGAGGAGAGGAGAGTCTGTGTAGTTCATTCTGAAAGACCTGAGCCCCAGCATTTCCTCAGGCTTCAGGAAAGCGGACAGAACTTAAAATACCAGCCCTAGCACTGATGCTAGTAGTATGGAGAGAGAAACTCATTTTAGATACAGTGGGGAAAGAACTATGAAATCAACACACACCTTACAAATAAAATGTCTGGAGAACAGTGTCGAACCACAAACAAGATGAAAGAAGTGTAGCTGATGCAAGTATTCCATGATGAAGAAACAAAGAGGAAGAAAGAATGGTGGGAAAAGCTGACAAGAACCAATCACAGAGGAAGAGTAACTTGAAAGAGCAGAAGGAGATCCCTTCCAACTCCTTTGTTTTATAGATCAACTTAATGAGAATTTGGATTCAGAAAAACAGGGTCAAAGACAAGAAAATAATAATAGGATGAGATGAAATTGGAGATTACACATCTAAAGAAATACAAATAAATTTTGTACACCAAAAACTAGAACAAAAATAGAATTACAGCTTAACAGACATGATTTCAATGAAGACAGATAAAAAGGTTAAAATAGAAAAAAGTAAAAAAAAAAGGAATGTAGAAGATCCAATATAAAAATAAATACTGTCACTGAAGAAAAGAACCTAACAAACAACAAAAGCATTGAAATAGTATAAGTTGTTTTAGGAAAATTTTATAGTTGAGCAATAAGACCTGTTTTGTGCAAATAATTGAACTTTTAAAATAAAGGACAAATTACTGGGTGAAAAGCTTCAGGTAGTTCTGTGCCTCATGCTGGCAGGGGTCATGCCCAGTCTCTACAAAGCCCTTGTGGTCTTTGGATAGCCAGACACTGTGACCGAATACCAGGCCACTGTGGGTAGTGGAGCATGTGCCCTGTGGCATGGTCGTCATTGCGTTACCAGGCAACCAGGAAGAGTTTGTGAGAGGCATGGCAGCAGCTCTATGGAAGATACCAGTTTCTGAATTCCTAAAGTTTATCTGCTTGTCCAGGTCTTAGCATTAGTTGTTTAGTATTCCATTACTGTGGACTCAGCTCCAGAAGAAGGAGCATTTATTTGGTCCCTGAAATTTTCTCATGTTTTATTGCATCAATAATGCAATTGTCTTGCATTCGCTTCTCTGTGTTTTGCCCTGACTGGGAATCGAACCAGCAACCCTCTTCTCTATGTTTTGAAAAGAAGGAGAGCCTGTTATGTAAGTTTCTTTTGGCAGTTTATTTTAGGTGAGTCATTGGGTCCTGCTAGCCCCTTTGTGCCTCCAGCAAGCTCTTGGGCTGAAGTGTCCTTGACTAAGAAGAAGCAAAATGCATTAAAATGCAGGTGGAACACCCTCTATGTCCCCTGAAAGAATTATGGATTGAATCACCTGGAGACTTGTTTCTGTGTTCCTTCTGTTTCTTTGCCCTCTTTCAAGTTGACAGAAACAGGCCTCTGGCTTGAATATTAGGTGTAAATGTATTTTCAGAAGCCACAGTAGTCCTCAGAAAACACCTTCCATAGTCAGGAGCTCCACAAAACTGTTGCAGTGATACGCAGTCAATTCTGTAAAACCATTTTCTTGGGTAGTTTTAAGTTATTTTTAACCTAAAGTAAAGTATAATACTGTGTTTTTAAAAGTAGTGAGAAAAAATAGAGGGAGGGAGGGAGGGAGAAAGGGAGAGAAGGAGGGTGAAAGAGGGCCTGGGAGAGACAGAGAAAGATTGAGACTTCTCCAGGATTCTAAGCAGAAAAGTGAACCACATAAGAGTGGGTGGGGGGCATCATACTTGTCTCAGACTTATCCATAGCAACATTTAATGCCAGCATTCAAGGGAGCAGTACCTGCAAATTTCTGAAGGAAGAAAAAGATGGCTCAAGAATATTAAGAGCAGCCAAGGTGTCATTTGATTGTAAGGCTAGCAAGCAGACACTCTTCTTAAACACAAAAGAATTGAAAGAAGGGAATACTGCATTTTGCTGTGTATAATGTACACCCGTTTTTGGCCCAGACTCTCAGGGAAAAAAAAATCTTTTGCTTTAATTTTTTAATCCAATTATTTATTTGTTTATACTTAGATACTTGCTTTTTGTATTATAAGGGAATTTTAGCATTTATTTTTGAACATATTATGGTACAAGAAATTTTATGTAACAAATTATTACAAACCACAAGAACAGATACAAGGTATTTCAAGCACTACCCATATATAATGACCATCTTTATTTTTCCCTAAAAAATTTGGGCAAAAAAGTACACATTATACATGGCAAAATGTGGTACATGTAAACTCAACTAGAAAAAGGCTACTTGACAGTGAAATCCAGCCAATTAAGAGTTAAAGACTCGAGAAAGACAAGTCGTGGTAAGAGAACTGTAAAGAGATTGATTCAGCTACAGTATAGACCTAGTACTCAATAACTATGGAATTACCGTTATAGAACGGAATATGAATGTTATGAACCTGGACTGTAAAAATTATATGGCAGAGATTGGGAGAAGAAATGGGAGGAAGTGTAAGTGCTAAAATTGTCAACTTTCAAAGCAGGGAGTGAGTGGATTCTCTCCAAAATAAAATTTTATATAACTCATAAACTAGAGTGAATTCAGCCTTTAAACTTTTCATGTACTTAAAAAATGTAGAATATTCAAACAATACATAAAATCATGGGTGCTGTGGTACTAACTTAAGTACTCTTCATATTTAAGAAATGTCACCATGTATTTATTTATTTAATGGTACTTTTTTCCATCACCGTTTATCCCCCATACACTCTCTTCCACCTCCAGCGACCCTCCAGACTCACCATTTTGTTAAACTGGTTTCAGATTATGTATATAATACTTCAGACAAAAAGAATGGTTGAAAGAAAAATAATGAATACTAATGTATTTACCACCCAGGTTAAGAAGTAAAACATTGTTAATATAGTTATTAGACCCCTGCATGCCCCCCAGAATCCCAGAGATAATTAGTATCCTGATTTTGTGGTGTCAGTTGTTCACATACATATTTTTACACTTTAAATATGTATGAATATAAAGTAGAATTAGTGAAGTTTCTGTTTTTAGTCGTTATAGAAATCATATTCTGTAGTTCACTTTTTAACTTTATGTTGTTTTGAGAGTTATGTTGATAATGTGTTACTTGAGTATATTACTTTTCACTACATATAATTATTCTATAGATATACTATAATTTATTAATCTATTTTATATTGATGAATATTTGTTTTCCTTTTTGATATTAGGTTGTGATAAAACTTTCTTACATCTTGTTTACATATAGTAATGGTTTGTATAATTAAAAAATCTTTGATTATTCAGGGAAACGTATAAAGTAAGCATTTAAAGTGTAACAGTAGCATTGGTTTCCCTTTGATTTTTTAAATTACATTATATAAAAGTTAAAACTAACACTATTTATTAAACTTACCATCTGTAGCATGATCCCCTGTGTATATACATGTAGTATCACTCTGTTCCGTTTGCATAAATGGATAGAAAAGTGTGTGGGAGAGTGTTTACTTAATGATAATCATTTTTAGGTGATAAAATGTGAGATCATTTTTAAGATTTTAGTTCTTTATATTTTGCATTGGCTACATTCTTCATAATGAATATTCTGGTTTTAATAAAAATAGTACAGTGTATTCTTTTTAGTTTTAAACTTTATTATTTATTTTTATAGAGAGGAGAAGGGAAAGAGATAGGGAGAGAAACATTAATGTAGGAGAGAAACACTATCCACTTGCCTTCCACTCAAGCCCCAGCCAGGGACTGAACCTGCAACCCAGGCATTGCCCTGACGGGGAGTCAAACCAGCGACCTTTCCATGGGACAGCGCCCAACGAATTAAGACACACCAGCCAGGGTGAAAATAGTAGAGTGATATTTTCCTCAAAGATGAATTAAAGTGAATATTCTAAGATAGTGAATGTGATTAAGTGGCAAAAGCAAGAGTACAGATGATTTTCCTTTTGGCATTTTTTTTTGTATAAAATGTATTTATAGTATAATTGAAATGCTATAATGATATTACAGCTTTCTTAAAAATATGAATTTTTAAAAACTAATTAGAAGAAAAGGGAGAGATGTAGCTGGGTTGCTTGGTTGAAGCGTCTTCCCATATACCAAAAAGGTGGTCAGGTCAGTTCCTGGTCAGGGCATATACCTAGGCTGCAGGTTTGATCCCCAGTTGGGCTGTCTACGGGAGGAAACTGATTGAGGTCTGTCTGTCTCTCTCCCCCTTCCCCTCTCTCAAATCAGTAAGCATTTCCTTAGGTGAGAATTTAAAAAAACTAAAGGGAGAGTTAACAATTTTCTTTTATTGTCATTCCCCTTTGAGTACCCGTCTTCAATTTTACATGATTAAATAAAAGATGAGTTATATAATAAAAGTTTAAGTTACTTGCGTATAATGCAACCTTCAAGTTATTTAGAATGTGTGTAGAAGAGGTTTTCAGGAAGCATTAGAAATTGCCCATAGATGTACTTCTCTCCTGTCTCCGGGCTGTGCAGCCCAGGCTCCCTTTCTGAGTTCTCATATGCAGGTAGGCCCGGGTGTTAGGTTTGTTTGCCCAGGTACCTCCCTGTATGCATAGCAGATGCAGTCAGCATCTCCAAACTGGATTATGTCACAAATGAAAGAGTACAAGATACTCTGTTTTGGCATTTGGGTGAAAATATGATCTGTTTGTTTTGTAGGTATGACCTTGCTTCTAGGGAATGGCTCGCACTGAACCATTCTGTCAACGATGTGGTCGTTCGATATGGCCATTCTGTAGCATTACACCAGGTAAAATGCCTCCGCCCTTTACTGAGCTAGAAACTCAGCTCTTCCGTAGTGACTCTATCATATTATGTGGTTGAAAAAACTGTTTGATGTTTTTTTTTTCCTAATCTTTTTGGTTGTGGTCAAATGCACATCACTTGAAATTTACCATCTTAGCCATTTTTAAGTGTACAATTCAGCGATATTAAATACATTCATAATATGCGACCATCACCACCATCCATCTCTGTAACTCTTTTCATCTTATAAAACTGCAACGGTCTATGGCCATTAAACATTAAATTCTTCATTTCTTCTTCCTACATCCTCCGATAAGCACCATTCAGTTTTCTGTTTCTATGATTTTGGCTGCAGTGTTAGTTTTATTGGGGAAAATTTCCTATATGTGGGGGCAGGGGGTGTGTAATAGGCTAATGTGTAAGTGGAAATTAAAGTTAATACAAATACAACAGGACAGATTCTTTAACGGGTTTAAATTGTACTGGGATATTATGATGTGCTATTAGATGGTTAAAAATTAATATGGTGTAGATTAGCATTTACATTCATTAGCAAGGTTAGCCAAGAATGACCACATTGCAATATAACTGAATAATCATTTTCATTTCCTTGTTTTTGCGGTTTATGGTAGGATGAGAGAACTTTTCAACTTTATTTTTCCAAGTCATTTTATTACTGTAAAAGACCTTGCATGAGGAAATCCAAGAAAAGTAGAAAATTGTTAGAGATATAGAACGCACTTTATTTTATTTTATTTTTTTGCCATCTTTTTCCTAGTAATTCACTGAACGGTGTATTTCACTAACACTTTTTATGCTAAGAATGATATTGAGGTTTTGAACTGCTCCTTTTTTGTTCTCAGATTTAATCCTTTTGACATTGTTAGAATTTTCACATTTTCTCCCTAGGACAAAATTTACATGTATGGAGGAAAAATTGATTCCACAGGGAATGTGACCAATGAGTTGAGAGTGTTCCATATTCACAATGAATCATGGGTGCTGTTGAACCCTAAAGCGAAGGAGCAGTACGCGGTGGTGGGGCATTCGGCACACATCGTCACATTGAACACTGGCCGAGTGGTCATGCTGGTCATCTTTGGACACTGCCCCCTCTATGGCTATATCAGCAGTGTGCAGGAATATGACTTAGGTAGGTGTATTTTCCAGTGAGTTTTTTGCTTGTCAAATTTAAAACCTTTACCCTTATTATTATGAGTTTTTAACAAGATTCAAACTAACCTTGACCCAGTACTTTATCTTGAAATACAGTCAACACCAATGTATTACTTGCAAAATTCGTATTATTGATGCTGCTGTGTAGTGTATATGTTCCTGTCAGTTTGGCATGGGGCAAAGATGGCACTAAATTCTTTACATGCTGCAGATTAAATAAATAAATGATTCTAAACAGCAGTTATTCTGAAGAAGAAATGTATTTGATAAGCCCTCTAGAGATTGGTTTAAGGGAGTGTGATTTCCTCTTACTGTGTAATTTTTCCTTTGGTTAAATTTTATTGTATCTTGTTCCAGAGTAGGAGTACCAGCTATAATTTATATTTTGAGAAAGTAGATGCATATAGTATATCTGTATATTGGTCAGTGAAGGTCATGAGGAATTAAGTGTTCTCTGTGTCTTTTCAATTTAATGTAATTCTTTTTCTGCATGGCATGTTAGAACATCAGAACATTAAACAAATTAAAAGTTTGGCCACCTGACTTAATTAGTTTTAAGTGACCTCCCTATAAAAATAAAATGAAGCCCTGGTTGGTGCAGCTCAGTGGGTTGAGCTCTGGCCTGTGAACCAAAGGGTCACTGGTTCGATTCCCAGTGGGGGCACTTGAGAGGCAGCCACACATGGCTATTTCTTCCCCTTTCTCCCTCCCCTTCCCTTCTCTAAAAATAAAAGGTAAAATCTTAAAAAAATAAAAATAAAACAATAAAAGAAAGTTATATGTATCAATTCTCCTGAAATCTCATCTCTTGTCCTAAGCTTTTTGGTAATTTTAAGTATTAGAGAAGAGAAGCCTGCAACATTTGCCTTTAACTGTTTTCTGTTTTCAGTTACAAACACATGGAGTATATTAAATACTGTTGGTGCCCTCGTCCAAGGGGGCTATGGCCATAGCAGTGTCTATGACGACAAGACCAGGGCCCTCTATGTCCATGGAGGCTACAAGGCTTTCAGTGCCAATAAATACCGGCTCGCAGACGATCTCTACAGATATGACGTGGACACCCAGATGTGGTGAGTGCTTTCCCTTGCGCTTTCACTGTAAGGCACGAATTCTGGCAATTGCTGAGAAAATATTACGCTGTATTTTTGTCTTCAGACCTAGCAGAAAATTCTCTTCAGTGTTACAGAGAAATTGGGGGAAAAGCAGAAGTAATAAAGTAGGTAGTATTTATTTTGTTGCATTACTCTATGATTTTGTAGTAGGTTGGTTAGAAAATGCTTGGTATTTTTTTGAATTGGTTTTTAATTTTCATACATTCAGTACCACTCTAAAATTTTAGCTCTTCAGAATCCTAAGGAATAGATTACTCTGAGTATGCACTCTGTTGTAATTAAGTAGAATGTATCCATTTTTCCTTTTCTTAATGACTGAGGTGACATCACTGAGGTCAGTTATTGGCATCCATGGAATCATCAAACAGAAATGGTCTTAGTATTTAAAAGATTAGAGCTCTCCCCACTCTAAACTATATATTGGTGGATATAAAGTATGCTAATTTTAATAAATGTAAAGCAAATTTGAATTATGAAATAATGTAACTATAAAGCAATAGTTTCTCTTCTTGCTTTTCCTTATTTCCTTATATACTTGAGATCATGCTGTGGATATTCGTTTTATATTCTGCCTTTCATTAAAACCATCATTTTTAGTGGTGGTGTAATACTTTGTTGTGTATGCGTACTGAGCCTGTCCAGTTAGAAATTTTGGTTTCTTTTGTGTTACTGATAAAGTGTTGTGCATAAGCTTCTGTCTGTATTTCACATGATTTCTGCCCAGACACTGCAATTACAAAGTCATAGTTATTTTTTTAATTATATTTTATTGATTACATTATTACAGTTGTCTTGATTTTTTCCCCCTTTGCCACCTTCCACCTGGCTCCCCCAACTCCCTCTGGCAATCTTCTCACCATTGTTCATGTCCATGGGTCATGCATATGAGTTCTTTGGCTACTCCTTTTCCTATATGATACTTTACATCCCAATGTTTATTGTACCTACCTCCTTGTACTTCTTAATCCCGTCACCTCTTCACCCATTCCCCTACACCTGACTCTCATTTGGCAACCATCAAAACACTCTCTGTATCCATGATTCTGTCTCCATTCTTCTTGTTTGCTTAGTTTGTTTTTTTTTAGATTCAATTATTGATAGATATGTATTTTTTTGCCATTTTATTGTTCATAGTTTTGATCTTTTTCTTAAATAAGTCTCTTTAACATTTCATATAATAATGGTTTGGTGATGATGAACTCCTTTGGTTTTTACTTGTCTGGGAAGCCCTTTATCTGTCCTTCGATTCTAAATGATATCTTTGCTGCATAGAGCAACCTTGGCTGTAGGTCCCTGCTTTTCGTGACTTTGAATATTTCTTGCCAATCCCTTCTAGCCTGCAAAGTTTCTTTTGAGAAATCAGCTCACAGTCTTATAGGAATTCCTCTGTAGGTAACTAACTTCTTTTCTCTTGCTGCTTTTAAGATCCTCTCTTTATCTTTACTCTTTAGCATTTTAATTATGATGTGTCTTGGAGTGGGCCTCTTTGCATCCATCTTGTTTGGGACTCTCTGTGCTTCCTGGACTTGCATGTCTATTTCCTACACCAAATTAAGGAAGTTTTCTTCCATTATTTTTTCAACTAGATTTCCAGTTTCTTGCTCTTTCTCTTCTCCTTCTGGCACCCCTATGATGTGAATCTTGGACCTCTTGAAGTTGTCCCAGAGACTTCTTATATGATCTTCATTTTTTTTAATTCTTTTTTTCTTCTTGTTATTCTGTGTGGTTGGTTTTTGCTTCCTTATGTTCCAAATCATATTTTCAAATCATATATCAAATCAGATTTGATTCTCAGCTTCATCCACTCTACTGTTTCCCTGTAAATTGTTCTTTATTTCAATTAGCATATTCTTTGTTTCTGACTAGATCTTTTTTATGCTATTGAGGTCCTCACTGAGTTTACTTAACATCTTTATAACCAGTGTTTTGAACTCTGTATCTGACAGATTGCTTTATCTCCATTTTGTTTAGCTCTTTTTTTGGAGTTTGATCTGTTCTTTCATTTGGGCAATGTTTCTTTGTCTCCTTGTTTTGGCAGCCTCCCTGTGTTTGTTTCTATATATTAGGTAGGGCTGTTTTGACTCTGCCTTCATAGTGTGGCCCAATGTAATTGGTGTCCTATAGGGTCTGGTGGCACAGTGTCCCCTATCACACAAACTGGGTACTTGGGGTATGCCTTCTGTGTGGGCTGAGTACACTTCCTCTTGTGGTTGAGCCTTGGTTGCTGTTGGCAGATCAGTGGGAGGGATTTACCCAGGCCAGTCAGCTGGAAGGATTGACTGTGACCACTTAGCACCAACTTCTGCCCCCCTTGGAGGATCAGCTGTGCAGGGCAGGGTGGTGTAGCCTGTAGCTGTCCACTGGGTACATTGGCCCTGGGGTTTTCTGGGTGGTGCAGGCCAAGGTCAGCCCCTACCTCTGTTTTGTCTGGGGGCCACCCTGTCTGAGGTATAAAGCAACCTGAAATGGCTGTTACTTGTGCTGGGCTTGAAGATTCCCAGGCAAAGCCAAGCTGTGAATCAAGGCTGGCTGCTTCTAGTGCTGGGCCTGGGGCTCACTGAGACCAGCTGTTGCATGTTTGAGAGGATTTAGGAAGTTGTGAAGCATGAGCCAAGACCAGTCATTCATATGGAAAAGCAGCTTGTGTGCCCCTGTAAACTGGGTGGTGTGGAGTCTCTAGGGATCTCCAAGGTGGGTCAAACAGTGTTAGCCAGGTCGATGGAGTCTGAGATATGGCACCTGCTTGCCAGCTCTGTGGGGGGAGGGTTTAGAAAAGAGACCATGGCCTCTGCTTGCCCTGATGCCAGACACTTCATTTTCTCCCTGTGTGCCACTGGTGCCTTTCAAGCTGCTGCCCCAGGGCTGGAGCTTAGAGGGAGTGAGTCTGAGTAGGTGAGCCCATGTGTGGGTTCTTTTAAGAGAAACTGCTTGGGGCTCCAAGCAGTTTTTTCTACCAACTCAATCTGCTGATTTTTTGCAGCCAGAAGTTGTGGGGACTTATCTTTTGGACACTGGAACCCTGGGCTGGGGGGACCTCATATGGGGCCAGGATTGCTTACTCCTGAGATATCCCTCCTGAATTTTTATCCACCACACGTGTGTGAGGGACTAGTCCATTCCACATCTGAGCTCCTTCTACCAGTCTGGATGGATGTGGTTTTTTTAATTCCATAGTTGTCAGAGTGCCGTTCAGCTCGGTTTTGGATGGTTCTGAGTGATTTTTTTTTATGTTTTAGTGTAATTTTGACATGGTTGTGCATAGAGGCAAGCCATGTCTGCCTACACTGTCATCTTGAGCTCATACATTTTTAAGGCTCTTAATATATTTTGTCAAAATCCTCATAGGTCTTTAAGTTTTTACATGTTTACTTGGTATTGAAAAAGTTATATATAGGGAAAAATCCAGAAATATTTGCACATTTGGATGTGAAATTAATGGTTATGTTTGTATTAGCAAATAGGTGATAAGTATTATAAAAAACTAACCTTGTATTTATTATTTTTCAATCTCAAAAGGACCATTCTCAAGGACAGCCGATTCTTCCGTTACTTGCACACAGCGGTGTTGGTGAGTGGGACCATGCTGGTGTTTGGAGGGAACACGCACAACGACACGTCCATGAGCTATGGTGCCAAGTGCTTTTCTTCGGATTTCATGGCTTATGACATTGGTAAGTGTAATTAGTTGAGTGTTAATTTTTAAGGATGAGTTGAGATAAATGGGCTCTCTGTGTTACAGTGTCTTACACAGAAGTGTCTTGTAGCTGTTTACCACCAAAATTGTATTAAGTTGATTCCTAGAATCTGATTTCACATTCTTTAAAAAATTCATGTGGTAACATATTTAACCAGAAGAGGGCAGTATTTGTTCATGCACAATAAATACTGGCCAGTCTCTTGCTATATTATTGGGTGGTCATTTTTGTGCTAGCCACTGAGCTTGTCCATTGGACTGTAGGTTACAGCCCTTGGCCTCATAGTGGGGGAGGCAGAGAACTGAGCATACAATATAATTGCAATTCAGGGTATTACTTACTCTAAGATGAATGTGTGAGAGCGCCTATGAATAGTCCTTAACACATGGGGGTGGGGGTAAGGGTTATGGTTAGGGAAAGGGCCGGGTCCTGAGGATCACTGGAAAGTCAGTTAGGCAAAGTCAGGCAGACTTCTCAGGCGGAGGCAAAAAGAGACCATGCCACATGCTTGGGGCCTGTGAGTAGTTTCGGCTCCACGGCACCTACTTGAAGTGGAAGTAGAGACCCACGCAGCTATTGGACTGGTCAGATCTTGAGGAGTTTGGACCTTTTGAAGAACCTTACATAGGCAGTGACAGAATCATACGTGTGTTTCAGGAAGAGCTCTTCGTGGCATTGTGGTGAGTAGTTGGCACGGGGCAAGATGGGAGTTAGGAGGCTCATGCTGAAGTTCTGAGGAGGGTTTGCACCAAGGCTGTGGAAGTGGCAATGACGATAAAGAGATAGATGGGTTTGAGTACTCCCGGGAACTTGAGGATTGTCTGGGGTGTATTTTGAGAGCGATTAAAGCATCTCGATTTGCAGGTAGCTAATGTGGGCCAGGATAGATGGTACTTTTTACTAAGGCTGGAAATGGAAGTACAGGGACAGGGTCTGGGAGAAGGTGAGTACAGTGAGTACATATTCAGCTGGACTTGACTGTGGGGTGGAACAGTGCAGAGATCAGTGGGAATCTGCAGTAAGGGGTAAAATTCTGTAGGGAACATGTGTCATCAGGGATGAGCGAAGAGCCAGAGGAGAGGTGGATGAAGAAGTTGGGAAGAGAATGCAGACTATGAAAGCATGTCAGAGGCGTGGGAGGAATGTAAGGCAAGATTGGTGTCCTGCGAGGGAAATGTTAACCATGGCCACAGAGGGATTAAAATAAGGCCCGGAGAGTCTTTCAGGCTCAGCAACAAAGAGGTTATTTATTACCCTGTACACATGGAGGAGTAATCCAGGTTGCAGGGGGCCACAAAATAATGTAAGGGAGATGTACAGAGTGAATATTGACTTTTAATTTTAAAAACGTATCTGTGAGAAGAAGAAAGTGGTGAGTTGAGTACCATCTTGGGCATATTTAAATGCTGTGGTAAAAGCCAAGTGCCCTAAGAGGAGGGGGTCTTTGCTGCACTGGTTTTAAGGAAGGAAGCAAGGTGGGTGGGCAGGAAGCCTCTGTTCTTCATGTGAGGAAGACCACAGAGCCAGGACTGGTTGGAGAAGGAAGTGAAAGCTGTTGTCAAGGTTGAATAAAGGTTGGATTGAGTGGAAGAACGTTTTTGTAGTGGGTGTGAGTATCTGAGTATCTCGGAAGCACATAGTGAATGTGAGTTGCATGCGGTTTCCCAGCAAGAGAAGTTGATAGTATCGATCACAACAAAGGAAAATTAGTAGATCTAAAGGATTGAGGAAAGGAGTTTTAAAAAATTAGATAAAGGGTTTTTTTTTGTTTTAATTTTTCACCTATATTTGCCTATTTTAGCTACTATTTGGACAGGTCAGCATAGAAGGGAAAATAATTATGGAACTTATATGTTTTACTTACATAAGCTTTAACAAATATAAAATATGCTTAACTTAAAAAACATTGTAGTGAGTGAGACCTGGTTGATGTGGCTCAGTGGGTTGAGTGCTGGCCTGCGAACTGAAAGGTCACTGGTTTGATTCTCAGTCAGGGCACATGCCTGTGAGTTAGGCCAGGTACCCAGTTGGGGCATGTGAGAGGCAACCAGTGGGTGTTTCTCTCACACATCATTGTTTCTCTCCCTCTCTTTCTCCCTTCCCCTCTCTCTCAAAGTAAATAAATAAACTATTTGAAAAAAAAACATTGTAGTGGGTGAAATTGATAGGCAACAGAGGGAGTGATGTGGGTATCATGAATGTTGGATGCATTCACTAATTAGAAGGAATTATAATTCACTAATTAGAATTGGCATGTGGCCCTGCCTTTCTTACATGCCCTGCTGTTCTGCTGCAGCATTTTACCTCAGAAATGATGGTGTGACTGAGAAAAAGTGAGAGGTACATTTTATGAGGTTGTGTCTGTTGCAGTCTCCTTTAAAAAAAATGCTAGTTCCTATTGATGATGAAGGCAGTCTCATCTGAAGTGTGTTTTTCTTGCTCCTAGCTTGTGACCGCTGGTCAGTGCTTCCCAGACCTGGTCTCCACCACGTCAACAGATTTGGCCACTCAGCAGTCTTATACAACAGGTAACTGGGAAAGAATGTGCTTGCTCCTTTTCTCTTGTGTTTAAAATGAAAATGAAGTAAAATATGAAAAAGTGAGATTGGACTTACATATTATTTGCAGGATTTTCTCATCCTATTTAATAGGACCTATTAGTTTTTCACAGAATTACATTAAGTATGAATTTCCTGATATATATTTAAAATATTTGATGTTCATTTGAATGAATTTTAGTGCCATGTTTGTTGATGTGTTTTCCATTTGCATGCAGGAGTATATTATGCTCCTTATTGTCTGAATGCATCAGACCATGAAAGTTATGTGCAATTACTGTCTTATGCCCTCTGTCATTTGCTGTTGTTTGCGGTACTTAGGTCTGAGTGGTAAGGAGATTTGAAAAAGGAGAGAGGGCACGTCAGATTGGGGATAAGGTAGGGGAACACAGATGGGGAGATTGTGAAGCTTCGTATAGAACAAGTTTACAGTCTTTGGTAGTCTAGAGTCTGCATTGCATTGCTCAGAAATGCCTGGCCCTGCCTGACATCAGTCTGCCCCTGGAGAAGGCTTGTTCATGTAAGGGCACATCTGTTTCTTACAGTGTGCTTTAAAGATTTTTGATTTGTTAAACAGCCTAATCATGTTACTAATTTTTCTCATTTTTGTTTCTGCTGTTATTACTGTTTCTTCTTCACTTTAAAAAAATACAACCACAATACAATTATCACACTTTAAAAAATGAATAGTAATTTAATATCACTCAGTGTTCAGTGTTCGAATTTCCCAGTTGCCTCATAAATTTTTTCTCCTTTCCTCATTATTATTTTTTAAATAATTTTTTATTTTTTAATTACAGTTGACATATAATAGTATATTAGTTTCAGGTGCATACCTCAGTGATTAGACATTTTATAACCTACTAAGTGATCATCCCAATAAATCTTGTGCCCATCTGACACCATACATAGTTACTAGAATATTACTGACTTTATTCCCTGTGCTGTACTTTACATCCCTATGACTTCTTTAACAACCAATTTGTACTTCTTAATCCCTTCACCTTTTTCACCCATCCCCCCAACACCCCTCTCATCTTGCAACCATCAAAACATACTCCATACCTGTGAGTCTGTTTCTGTTTTGCTTATTTATTTATTTGTTTGTTTGTTTTGGTTTACTAGATTCAGTTGTTGGTAGATGTGTACTTATTGCCATTTTATTGTTCATATTTTTTATCTCCTTTTTTCTTCTTAAAGAAGACCCTTTAACATTTCATATAATACTGGTTTGGTGGTAATGAACTCCATTAGCTTTTTCTTGTCTGGGAAGTTCTTTATATGAGGTCTGTCTGGAAAACATGCAGCCATTGTTAATATAACGAGAACAGTTTGCACCATATTGATGTAACCTGGCAGCCAAGGAAGGTGGACTGGAATGTGCATGTGTGAAAAATAACAACCTCACTATACTAGTCAGAGGGTAAAAGTAGATGCTGTTGAGTGAGCATGTGTACTGTGTGGCTATTGCACTCAAAATGACTGAGCGAATAGAGCAATGAATCTACATCAACTTTTGCATTAAGGTTGAACATTCTTCCATGGAAACTATTTGGATGATTCAGAAGGCCACAGCTATGGGCATCTGGTGATTGGCAGCTTGATCAGGATAATGTGCTTGCTTATGCATCATTGTGCAATTTTTTTTTGTGAAACATCAAATCCACCCAAGTGACTCAGCCCTCCTATAGCCCACATTTGGTGCCCTGTAACTTCTGGCTGTTTCCAAAACTAAATTCAACTTCGAAAGGGAAGAGATTTCAGACCAGTGATGAGATTCAGGAAAATGCAGCGATGGGGCTGCTGATGGCAATTGGGAGAACTGTGTGAGGTCCCAAGGTTCCTACTTTGGAGGGGACTGAGGCATCACTGTCCTGTGTACAATGTTTCTTGTATCTTGTATCCTCAATAAAAGTCTCTATTTTCATATTACATGGCTGGATACCTTCTGGAAAGACCTTGTATGTACTGAATGACAACTTTGCCTGGTAGAGTAATCTTGGTTGTAGGTTCTTGCTTTTTATCAATTTGAATATTTCTTGCCATTCTTCTGGCCTGCAAAGTTTCTGTTGAGAAATGAGAGCTGATAGTTGTATGGGAGCTCCCTTGCAGGTAAGTAGCTGCTTTTCTCTTGCTTCTTTTAACATTATCTCTTTGTCATTAACTCTCTTCATTTTAATTATAATATGTCTTGGTGTAGGTCTTTTTGGGTTCTTCTTGGTTTAAGATTCTGTGCACTTCCTGGACTTGTATGTCTACTTCCTTCACCTGGTTAGAGAAGTTTTCTATCACTTTTTCAAAAAGGTTTTCACTTTCTAACTCCCTTCTCTTTCTGGAAACCCCATGATGAGAATGTTGGTACACTTGAAGTTTCCCAGAGGCTTCTTACGTTACGTTCATTTGGGGGAGGTTGGGATCATTTATCTTTTTGCTATTCTGATTGGGTATTTTTTGCTTCCTTATATTCTTTTTTTTTTTTTTGGCATTTTAATTAAAAAAATTTTTTTTAAATATATTTCATTGATTATGCTATTACAGTTGTCCCATTTCCCCCCTTCTCTCCCCTCCACCCTGTACCCCCTCTCCCACCCACATTCCCCCCCTTTAGTTCATGTCCATGTGTCATACTTATGAGTTCTTTAGCTTCTACATTTCCCGTACTATTCTTGCCCTCCCCCTATCTATTTTCAGCCTACATTCTATGCTACTTATTCTCTATACCTTTTCCCCCCTCTCCTCCTCCCACCCCCCCCCCTGCTGCTAGCCCTCCATGTGCCCTCCATTTCTGTGGTTCTGTTCCTGTTCTAGTTGTTTACTTAGTTTCTTTTGGCTTTGCTTTAGGTGTGGTTGTTAATAATTGTGAGTTTGCTGTCCTTTTACTATACATGTCTTTTCTTTATCTTCTTTTCTTAGATAAGTCCCTTTAGCATTTCATAAAATAAGGGCTTGGTGATGATGAACTCCTTTAACTTGACCTTATCTGAAAAGCACTTTATTTTCCCTTCCATTCTAAATGAAAGCTTTGCTGGATAGAGCAATCTGGGATGTAGGTCCTTGTCTTTCATGACTTGGAATATTTCTTTCCATCCCCTTCTTGCCTGTAAGGTCTCTTTGGAGAAATCAGTTGACAGTCTGATGGGAACTCCTTTGTAGGTTACTGTCCCCTTATCTCTTGCTGCTTCTAGGATTCTTTCCTTCGTTTTTACCTTGGCTAATGTAATTATGATGTGCCTTGGTGTGTTTCTTCTTGGGTTCAACTTCTTTGGGGCTCTCTGAGCTTCTTGGATTTCTTGGAAGACTGTTCCCTTTGCCAGATTGGGGAAGTTCTCCTTTATTATTTGTTCAAATACATGCTCAATTTGTTGCTTTTCCCCTTCCCTTTCTGGTACCCCTATAATTTAGATGTTGGAATGTTTAAAGGTGTCCTGGATGCTCTTAAGCTTTTCCTCGATTTTTTGAATTCTTATTTCATCATGCTTTCCTGCTTGGTTGATTCTATCTTCCTTCTGGTCCACTGTATTGTTTTGAGACTCAGATTCCTTCCTTTCACTATTGGCTCTCCTCCGCGTATCTTCCTGCATCTCTTTTATGGTAACCTGCATCCTTTCATCTAAATTGCGCCCAAAATCAACCAATTCCGTGAGCTTTCTGATCACCAGTGTTTTGAACTGTGCATCTGATAGATTGGCTATTTCTTGGTCGCTCAAAAGAATGAGACCTGGGGGACTGATCTGTTCTGTTGGAAACATGTCTTACGTCTTTCCCTGTCTCTCCTTTTTTTTTTTTTTTTTTCGGTCTGGTTGCTCTTGTTACGGTGGGGGGGCGGAGCCTTAGGTGTTCACCGGGGCTGGGCACCCCACTGGCTAGATTGTGACGTTATATGTGGGGGTCGGGGCGGGAGCGGGGACGGGAGGGAACAATGGCAGTAGTTCCGTTCTCCTGGGCTCAGACCCTTCTCTGGGATCCTGGGCTGCGAGCTCTGCCCTGGTCCACAATCGCTGCCTCACTGGGTCCGCCAGCCACAGCTTGCGTACTCAGGGATCACCGTTGCGTTCTTGTGCCCCGGATGGCTGTCGCGCCGATTTCGCGCCTAATTTTTCCCGACCTCCCCGTGCCGCCGACCTGCGCCAGCCCCGCGCCTGCCCAGCTCGTCGTCTCCTACCAGTCTGGATGTACGGGTCTACTTCAACTTCTTGGCTGTCTGACTTCCATTCAGATAAATCCTCTATCAGTTCTGAGTGTTATTCTATCTGTAAATTATTGTTGTTCTAATCTTGGTTGTGCGAGGAGGTACGGTGCGTCCACCTATTCCTCCATCTTGCTGAAAGTCCCTGCTTCCTTATATTCTAAATCACTAATTTGATTCTCAGCTTCATCTTCATCTGAAGACTCCCTGAAAGTTATTCTTCCTCTCAGTTAGTGTATCCTCCATTTATGACTGGTTCTTTGTTATGTTTCCTTCGCCCTTTTTCAGGTTGTGGAAGTTCTCACTAAGTTCCTTGAGCATCCTTATAACCATTGCTTTGAACTCTATCTGGTAGTTTGCTTGCATCCATTTTATTTAGTTCTTTTTCTGGAGATTTCTTTCATTTGGGACCTGTTTCTTTTTCTCCACTTCTTGGTTGCTTCCCTGTGTTTCTGTGTATTAGGTGGTGCTGCTGGGTCTTCCAGACTTGGTAGAGTGCCTTGTGTAGTAGGTGTTCCGTAGGGCCTAGTGGCACAGCCTTTCCAGGTGAGAGAGTAGCTCACCCATGTTTTCTTCTAGTGCACGTGTGGCTTCATTTTTTCTTCAAGTGGTTCTTTGATCCATTTGGAATTTATTTTGGTGTGGAGAAATGGACTCAATTTTATCTTTTCCCATGTTTATTTTATTATCTCCATATCATTTGCTAGAAAGTCCATCTCTTATGCACTAATTTAAGATGCCACTTTTACTGTGTACTAAATATTCATGTGCACTTCTATCTGTTTCTTATTGATTTATACTCATTACACAGTTTTAAGTAGGGAGACTTTATCTATGCTTTTAAAATTATACATTTATTTTTAATATTTAAGAATATGCAGATTTAGAATTACGTGTTTAATTTTATTTTATTTTTAAGTATATTTTATTGATTATGCTATTATAGTTGTCCCATTTTTTTCTCCCCTTTATTTCCCTCCACCCCCGTGCCCATCAGCATTCCCCCCACCTTAGTTCATGTTCATGGGTCGTACATGTAAGTTCTTTGGCTTCTCCATTTCCCATACTATTCTTAACCTCCCTCTATTTTTTACCTACCCTTTATGCTGCTTATTCCGTGTACCTTTTCCCCTATTCTCCCACCACCCCCTCTCCGCTGATAACCCTCCAAATGATCTCCATTTCTGTGATTTTTTTGTTCCCGTTCTAGTTGTTTGCTTAGTTTGTTTTTGTTTTTATTTTCTTTTTAGGTTCAGTTGTTAGTAGTTGTGAGTTTGTTATTTTACTGTTCACATTTTTAATCTTCTTTTTCTTAGATAAATCCCTTTAACATTTCATATAATAAAGGCTTGGTGGTGATGAACTCCTTTAACTTGACCTTATCTGAGAAGCACTTTATCTGCCCTTCCATTCTAAATGAAAGCTTTGCTGGATAGAGCAATTTTGGAAGTAGGTCCTTGCCTTTCATGACTTCGAATACTTCTTTCCAGCCCCTTCTTGCCTGTAAGGTCTCTTTTGAGAAATCAGCTGACAGTCTGATGGGAACTCCTTTGTAGGTTACTGTCCCCTTATCTCTTGCTGCTTCTAGGATTCTCTACTTCATTTTTACCTTGGCTAATGTAATTATGATGTGCCTTGGTGTGTTCCTCCTTGGGTTCAACTTCTTTGGGACTCTCTGAGCTTCCTGGATTTTTTGGAAGTCTATTTCCTTTCCAGACTGGGGAGGATCTCCTTTACTATTTGTTTACATAATTTTTCACTTGTTGCTCTTCCTCTTCTCCTTCTGGTACCCCTATACCTCAGATGTTGGAACATTTAAAGATGTCCTGGAGGTTCCTAAGCATCTCCTCATTTTTTTGAATTCTTATTTCTTCATTCTTTTCTGATTGGATGTTTCTTTCTTCCTTCTGGTCTGCACTCTTGATTTGAGTCCCAGTTTCCTTCCCATCACTATTGATTCTCTGTACATTTTCCTTTATTTCACCTAGCAGAGCCTTCATTTTTTCATCTAATTTGTGAGCAAATTCAACCAATTCTGTGAGCATCCTGATTACCATTATTTTGAACTGTGCATCTGATAGGTTGGCAATCTCTTCATTGCTTTGTTGTATTTTTTCTGGAGCTTTGACCTGTTCTTTCATTTGGGCCATTTTTTTTTGTCTTGTTGCACCTGTTACATAGTGAGGGGCAGAGCCTTAGGTGTTCACCAGGGTAAGGTAACCTGCCTCGCTGGGTTGTGATGCTGTATGTGGGGCAGGGGTCCAAGAGGGAACAATGGCATTTGCTGTGCTCTCTGTCAGATTTCAGTCCCCTTTGCTGCTTCCCACAAGCAAACTGGGTCTTTCTGGTGCTGATTCCTGGGTGGGTGGGCTTGTGTACATTCTAGGACCCTGTGGGTCTCTCCAACAAACTCTCCTGTGAGGCTGGGAGTTCCCGTTCCCCCTTTGTTTCACCTGGTTAATCTGCACTTGAATGTGGGACCGCCCAGTCCACCGCTGCCTTGCTGGCCAGCTGCAGCCTTGCAAATCTGTTCCACACTCCACCGCCTCACTGGGTCCACCAGCTGCCGCCTTGTGCGCCCTGGTCTGCTAGCCCCACCTTGCTGCTAGTGCACTCCCCTCCGGCTGCCCAACTACACCCCTCCTACTGGTCTGGATAAATATGTCTTCTTTAATTCCTTGGTTGTCGGACTTTCATACAGTTTGATTTTCTGCCAGTTCTGGTGGCTTTTTGTTTTTAAATTGTTGTCGTTCTTCTTTTGGTTGTGCAAGGAGGCACAGTGTGTCTACCATTGCCTCCATCTTGGCCCGAAGTTCCTCTCCTCATTTTTTAAATTCTTGTTTCTTCATTCTGTTGCAGATGAATGTTTATTTCTTCCTTCTGCTCCAGACTTTTGATTTGAGTCTCAGTTTCCTTCCCTTCACTCGTGATTCCTTGTGTATTTTGCTTTATTTCGCTGTGCAGAGCCTTCCCATTTTCCTATGTTTTGCAGTCATACTCCACCATTTCTGTGAGCATCCTGATTACTAGTGTTTTGAACTGTGCATTTTGTCGGTTGACTATCTCTTCATCACTTAATTTTGTTTTTGGAGTTTTGATCTGTTCTTTCATTTGGGCCATATTTTTTTGGGTGCAGCTGTTAATGTTGTAAAGAGTGGAGCCTTAGGTATTCACCAGGGTGGGGCAATCCAGGATGCTGCATTGTGGTGCTGTATGTGGGAGAAGGGTCAGAGAGGAAACAATGCTGCTTACTCAGCTTTTGGTTGCCTTTCAGTCACTTTATCCACTACCCACAAGCAAATTGGGTCATTCTGGTGCTGATTCCTAGGTGGGTGGGTTTGTGTACATTCTAGGATTGCTGAGCAACCCCCACAGGTTTTTTTAAGTCAGAGGTTTTGAAGCTTTATTTCTCCACACCGGACCCTGGGTTGCATGTTCCCCAGTTGTTCCTCCTGGTTTATTTGCATGCAAATGTGGACTGTCCAGTGCGCTTTGCCTGCCCTGGTCCTCCAGCTGCTCTCTCCACCCTAGCTGCCTGTGTCTATTCATCCTACCAGTCTGAATGAGTGTTTCTTCTTTAACTTCTTGGTTGTCAGACTTCCATACAGTTCAATTTTCTGACAGTTCTGGTTATTTTTTGTTTTTAAATTTGTTGTTGTCCTTCTTTTGCTTGTGCAAGGAGGCAAAGTGTATCTACCTATGCCTCCATCTTGGCTGAAGTCCTATGTGTTTAGTTTTAAAATATGTTTACTTACCCTGCTGCTAAAATACTGCAGGGAATCATGTTTAAAAGCCACTTTGTTATCCTAAGAACTTTTTAATATATGTTCTGTAAAGAGTATGCATATTATTGGAATTATCCAGGTTGGAAAGATCAGCATGATACATTAGAATTTGGGATGAAGGGTATAAGATGGTTTTCTGAGACCCTGGAAAAGAATTTCTCACAGGACTTTTGATATGTAATATTTGTTTGAAGATTTCAAACAGTGTATCATGCCTTTGTTTTTATATTTCCACTAAACTCTCTCTCTTTTTTTATCTTTTAGCTCCATGTATGTGTTTGGTGGATTCAACAGTCTCCTCCTCAGTGATGTCCTGGTATTTACCTCAGAACGGTGTGAAGCACACCAGAGTGAAGCTGCCTGTGTAGCAGCAGGGCCTGGCATCCGATGTGTGTGGGATGCAGGGTCATCTCAGTGTATCTCCTGGGAGCTGGCAACAGAAGTACCAGAAGAAAAGTTAAAATCAGAATGTTTTTCCAAAAGAAGTATGTTTTTTTCTCTTAAAATATAATTAACTTGAAATCTCATTTTGTCTAAATTATGAAGGCACTTAGCATATGTATACTTTTTTAGGTTCATGTTATCATCCAAAAGTATTCAGTAATAACTTACACAAAGGTTCTATGGGAGATTGGTTTGTAAACATCTTTGCAATGGGTGGGAACATGCCCTACAGCTCCAGCAAGTTGTCTGCAAATCATAGAGACGTAAACCTCCTGAGCGTGGCTTAGACTTTGTATATCAGCTCCAGAACGTGGCTGCATTTTGTATGAGGAAATGCAATCCAGTGATTTTTGTGTGTGTTGATGGCAGTATTGTATATCTGCTCTGTCACAATATGGTAGCTCCTAATCACATGTGGCTATAAAGCACTTGAAATGAGACTGGTGTGACTGAAGAACTGAGTTTTTTACTTTAATTAATTTAAATTAAAAACTCCATGTGGCTAGTGGCTACCACTTTGCCTTATGCAGTGCTAATGTTAAGGGTGAGAAGAAGAGGGCCAACCAAAACAGCTGTGTTGGGGTCGATTGTTCTCATGGATAGAGGTAAAGTTGCTGCTGTCTTTGCAAAGTACAATTCTTTTCTAGCTTTTCTAGTTCAGCACAGCAGTGATAGTAAGATAGATAGTTGCTGAGGATGCATAGTGAACCCTGCTTCTAAAACTACCTCTTGTGCTTTCCAAGCTTTCTTCTTGCCTACTTAGCTTCTTACCCTTATGCTCTGACATTTAGCACAATGCAAAATAATACGTGAGAAATTCCATTAAGAGTAAGAAAAATGTGCCCTGGCTGTGTAGCTCAGTTGGTTAGAGCATCTTCCCGATATTCCAAGGTTGTGGGTTTGATCCCCAGTCAGAGCACATACAAGAAGCAACCAATGAATGCATAAATAAGTGAACAACAAATTGATGTTTCTCTCTTTCTCCCTCCCATCTTCTCTCTCTAAAAGTCAATAATTAAAAATTTAAAAAGAGTAAGAAAAATGTCTCTGTAGAATATTTTTTTCACTTCAATTAACTTAAATATGTTGACTGAATTTTGTAGCTATTAGGGCTGGTGCACCAGTTATCATGACAGTTATGGTGGACAGAGGCAGCTTTCACTCTTCAACTGAACATAAATCCTCAGTGAGGACACCCAGACAGCCTTCTAGGTTCACTGGTGAGCTGGCGAGTGCTGGAGAACTGAGATGGCCAGAACCTGGAAGGTTTAGTCCCTGTCTCCTAAAAAGGATAAAATCAGTGACATAGTAATTTTTTAACCAAATTTTAGAAAATATTTTATTTATTTACTTTTAGAGAGAGGGGAGGGAGAAAGAGGGAGAGAAACACCAGTGCGTGAGAAATACATTGATTGGTTGCCTCTCACATGCCCCCGATTGGGGATTTGGCTCGCAACCTGGGCATGTGCCCTGACTGGGAATCAAACCAGCAGCTTTTTGGTCAGCAGGCCAATGCTCAGTCCACTGAGCCACACCGGCCAGAGTTTAACCAAATTTTTTAAAGTTCAAGTTAAATGTGCAAGTTTACAGGATATAATGTTCTCTTAGCTTAGGTGGTTCATTATGAACCCATTTTATATGAACTCATCTCAAGTGTTGCCTCCCTGGTTTACTCTGCCTTCTGTTTGGGCTCAGTCCTTGGGGTGCTGACCAGGGCAGGAAGAACAAGCCAAGGAGCAGGGTGCTGGAGTCTTTGTGAAGATGGCCCTACTCTTTCTTATCCATGGATGTCATCATGTGCCATGTCCACAAGTGATTCAGCAGATGAGGCAATATAGTTGTGCAGCTTCTCTTTTGTTGCTAACCTTGACCTGTCTGGGGTCAATGGGAGATGCAGCAGGTCTGTGTAGTAGCCTAGAAATTCTCAAACTTACATCTTTGGATTTACATATATGCCGTACAAAATGCAGCTTAGCCTACTGCCTCCTTTGGGGTTCTGTGGTGCTTGCTGCCTTCTTCCTGTGTCCAGATCAGTCTTGTGTTTATAGCTGGGAGGAATGGCTTGCTCTCCTACCTTACTTTGGCTCCTCAGGAAGCTCCTGGTGTTCATTCTGTTGGTAGTTGTTTTTTTTCCTTGGAAAGAAAAGCATTTAAAGAACCAGAGCTCTTATCTTGCTGTTGTTGAATTAAATTAGTCTCTGTTGTTCACTTTCTGTGTACTTTTATAGGGAGGGAGTGGATGCAAAACTGTTTTTTCAGATTGTTTACTGATTTCTAAATCTATTTTATTTTAACACGACTTCACCGATGTATTTTCCTACCAGTTGAGCTCCTTGTTTTACTTCCCAACCATTGTTACTTTTTTTTTACTTGAGTCTCATTGTGCTCAACAGCAATTGTAATGTCCTGTGACTTTTCTGATGAGAAACTGTCCCGATTGATGAGTTTTTCTTCTCTTTGTAGCTCTTGACCATGACAGATGTGACCAGCACACGGATTGTTACAGCTGCACAGCCAACACCAATGACTGCCACTGGTGCAACGACTATTGTGTCCCTAGGAACCACAGCTGCACGGAAGGCCAGGTCAGGGGCCGCTTCTGAAGGATTTCAGAGGATGGAACAATCCAGAGTGGGATAATGTGTAGATTGTAATGTGTGTGTTGTAAATACTGGTCCAGAGTTATTTGTAAAACCTTCAGTGTAGATTTGGATTTTATTATTGCTCAGATTTTCTTTTGGGAAGGGATGCTCTGTGCATTTTCATATAACAAAGGTCCTTGTCACAGAATTGACATGTGTTGTTTTGGATAGAAGGGCTAGTGTTTTGAGTGACCCTCACTCCCTAACATGGCTGTGGCTAAACACTGGAGCCTTGGTGTAAGGCTTGGTGAGCCCTACCTGTGCAAGGTTTTAGAAGCATGTTAAAGCTTGAGACTAAAACTTGAGATTTATTTCCACAATTCAGTGTGGCTGCTACACATTGAGTTGCGGAAATAAATCTCTTTGTCTTATGTTATATCTTGGCTTAGCGTAATTACCTGTAAAGTTCACCATTTGTAATTGTTTATTTAGGTTATAAGGTAACAAAGATGATGACTCAGCTTTTAGTTTTTGACAGTTTATATGAGACATTCTTTGTCAATCTATGAAGCAGTCTGTCAAATATGAAGCTTTTAGCCTGTTTGGGAGGCATTTGAAAAGCATTACGTTCAATGTTGCCATTTTACAGATGAGCAGGTTGTGGCATAGTATTTAGGAGTGTCTTGCTTCCTTGCTGGCTAAAGGCATGTCCTTGAGCAGAACCTTTCACTAAAGTGTTTCACTGCAGCGCAGCGTCATATGCGTCCTATTCATTTATGTATTTGCAGTTTGCTGCTTTAATTCAGTTTTTAGTGTCCTGTTTGTCCTCACCATGAGTTCTCTCTGTGGATATGAGAAAAGCTGTTGTCCGCTGTGCTCTAGGTCTCCATTTCCAGGTACGAGAACTGCCCCAAGGACAACCCTGCGTACCACTGTAATAAGAAGACCAGCTGCAGGAGCTGCGCCCTGGACCCGAGCTGCCAGTGGGAGCCCCGGAATCAGGAGTGCATCGCCCTGCCCGGTAAGCTTTACAGCAGTGCCTTGGGGTGTGCGTAGGTCCGGAGCCTTTGCACTCATGCCTCCCATACTGTGCAATCTTGGTCGAACCAGCAACGGTGGGCAAACTCATTTCACCCACTCATCTCCCATACCACTGTTGTGGTGGTGATATTTTTAAACAAAAATATAGTTCTGAAGTATGCTCTTACCATCCTTTGAAATGAAGTGAAATATCGTCTGCCATGGAGCATCAAATGACCGCTTGGCTCTGTAGCATCGAGCCCACTCCGTTGGCTTCGCCCTGCTCTATTGTGGGAACCTGGGAATGGAATGCAGTGGTCTCACAGCCAGTCTGCTGGGCACCTACTGAAGACTGCTTCCTTTTGACCACTGGGACTATCAGCACCTTCTGACGAGATTGTCAGCACCTTCTGACGAGACGAGGCGAGATGCCTGTGTCCACGGTGCCTCTTGGGGTGATCTCAAGCCCCACATACCTTCATTTATGACACTTCTGAAGTTCGGGATGATGAGTTAGGGGGTCTGAGGCTGGCCAGCTGTGACTGAAACGGCAGTGTATTTGCTGAACCGAGATATCCAGGAAGGGGGATTCCTGTGGCGCTGCACAGTATCTGTGGCATGTGCAGCCGGGCCCTGCGAGGCCCCTTGTCAGTGTCCTCTGGAAGTACTTGATTTCTCTTGCATGAATGGGCTTCTTGTTCTTTATCTCATTGCCTCTCAAACTTAAATGCACAGCAGAGTACCTGGGGATCTTGCTGTAAGTCCGATGCTGGTACAAATCTAGTGTGGGGCCCAGAATCTACATTTGAACAAGCGGTGACACTGATGCCACACTCTGAGGAGCAGCTGTTTATCTGCTCTGATATGGTCCCTAACCCATAGTACCCTTCATTTGCCTCACTGACGACTAATGAATGTGGCTGGTGGCATCCTGGGGTTACTGTGGTTCTGGAGACCTTGGCTCTAGTAAAGTTGCTTTGCTCACTCTCTTCCAGGAGGTACTCACGGCTTCCTGCGGTTCTTCGGGTGGGTTCAGGGCCCGCCCAACTGCAGATCACAGGCTCCCTCTCTGTGCTATGGCTGTATCGCCTTGGGGTTTTTTCTTCAAAAGAATCTTTTCACTTCATTTTTGGGATAATTTGTGCATTTGATTTTACCTTCCACTTGATGTGAAAACAGTGCAGCTTTTGAAGACTGTAGACTTGTTCCTTCACCAACTCATTTCCCATTCTTGCAGTTTTTAACCACGTCCTTCCAATATGCATATTCATTTTTTTTGCTCTTAGAATTTTAGTCTTGTTTCTAATTGTTCTTCAAAAGGAGATTTTTAAAATCCAGCACTGGCACCAAACAAGTATTTTCTTCGAAAACATGGGAGGGTTGACCTCAGGATATGTCTTTTGAGATCCAGGAAATATAACTGTGATAAGCATTTTTTAAATTCTTGTGTTCTCTATCTGGTCCTTAGTAAAGTGTCTGATACTCTCACCACATCCTAATAAGTACCTGCATTTTAGAGCCCCAAAACTATTTAGGTTTTCAGTAATTTGAATTAGTAACATAATTTTATGTGGTTTCTAAAACTGTTTTTCTTTCTCTCCCTCCTTTACAAAAGAAACTATCTGTGGCAATGGCTGGCATTTGGTTTTAAACTCATGTATGAAAATCACCACTGCCAAGGAGAATTACGACAACGCTAAACTGTCCTGTAGGAACCACAACGCCTTCTTGGCTTCTCTCACAAACCAGAAGAAGGTAGACTTTGTCGTTACGCAGCTGCGAATCATGCAGTCGTCGCAGAGCATGGTGCGTTAAAGCCCTCGGAACCCCAGTTTCCAGTACCCACTGTCTGCTGAGGGCGTGTGATGTGCTTGGCGGGGGAGTGCTGTGGGTGACTGTGGAACTGCCTGTCAGCTTCTTCCTTTAACACCTTTCTTATCTTGAAATTTTTAACACTTTATTAGTCATGTCTGTTAAAATATATTTGAATAATTGGACATGTATTGAATTGTAACATACATACCTATGCACACATCTTTGTGACAGCAGTAGATGTTTTCAGATCTGTTTTATTCCTAGGTTCTGCTGTGGAGGGAGGGGAGTGTCAATACCACTAGCTAGGTTGAATTAAGGCGCCCAAGTCTCTCAGGTTTCAGGTATTACTATAGTGTGTAATATGATTTAATGTTCACCACCCTAAGGAGTGCACATTTGTCTGCATCTTTCTTTAGGTCTGGCCAGCCCAAAAGGAGAGGGTACCTTACCAAGAGTTTCTAAGCACAGAAAGGCCCCAAGTTCTCTTTCCATCTGCTCAGTGCTCTGATGTGGCTTGTAGTTGACCTTCTATAATTACATTTGGTCTTTTTGAGTCCAAAGTCCTAGACTGTGGTCCTATCCTCAGATAAGTAGGTAGTCATAAGACTAAGCTCTCTTAACAGTGCTGGCTTTGCTACAGAGCAGGTTGAGGGGAATGTTCTTCTCTTCAAGGAGGGAAAAGCAATAGGTAGACTTTCTCAGGCACGGTCTTCTTCAGGTGAGGACAGGGAGTGAGGTCTGCATCCTGGTTACCTGTGGGCCCTGTATGCCCTATGGAGGGCAGTTCTGCAACTGGTAGGAGGTGCTCTGTATTTTTCTTTTCTCCAGTGAATCTCTTTTCCTTTTCCAGTGCAACTTTGGTATGGCATAGACACTCAAACATTGGTAATATGTTATAAATGTTTTTTTTACCTCAGGGGACACTGTGACCACATTTGATATTTTATATCTTGATGTTACCAGATAGTGGACCTGGCCCTGAATGGGTCTGCCTAGGGCTGGCTGGTAGTATGTGGGTTCTTGACTTCATGCAGGAAAGATTTCACAACATGAGTCCAGGCGACTGTGAGGGTATGTTTATTAAAGCTGGGGACAGTGAAACAAGGAAGGCCTTAGCATAGAAGAAGTAACAGGAGAGCCCAGGCTGCTTTAGCTCACTGGGAAGTGAGAGAAAAGGGGGCCTTGGGGACAGGTTCAGGGGTTAGCCAGGGGCGAGCTGCCGCTGCTCATTGTTCCCCTGGTTGCAAGTCTGCTGGGGTCCCTTAGAGTTTAGGAGACAAGGGCCTGTGAGGGAAGAAGAGGAGGAAGGGAACAGTGTGGGCCTGCTTCCCAGAGGGAGAGTGCCCTGGGTACTTTGTCTTGAGGGCTTTTCTCTTTTTAAGATTTTTTATTTGTTTGTTTTTAGAGAGAGGGGTGACAGAAGGGAGAAAGACAGGAAGAGAAACATCAGTGGGAACAATATCGGCAACCAGGGCTTGGACCTGGACTGGGAATTGAACTAGTGACCTTTCACTTTACAGGATGATACCTAACCAACTGAGCCACACCAGACAGGGCTGTCTTGAGGACTTTTAACTCTCTCTTGCAAGCAGGCATTTTAGAGGTCTTAGGGAAACATTTCAGCAGAATATTCATCACTTTTCCAAGTGTGCCAGTTTAGGGTAGTGGTCTCTACTGCTGGGTCGGTGCCAGGGTAGGGAGTTGCGAGTCACTGCAGCTGGTCCTGGCATTGCTGGCCTAGTCTTGCTGCTTTTCTGAGCCTGGGGCTGAAATACAACAGAGGCCTAGATGTTATCTCCAGGGAGGTGACCTTCCATGTGACTATAAATTGCTCAGCCAGCTTGATCAGCCATCTGTCTATTTCCCTATTCCACTTGCCAAGGAATTTTCCAAGCTTCTTACTCTCCTGCCTCAGTGAAAGCTTTTTCAAGTTCATAATCTCCATTGGAGACTGCTCATGTTGTTTGTTTTCTCTCCACCTGACCCCCCAGATACGGGTCTCTGCAGTGGTCTGTCCTTGGCTGTCAGCTTATCTCACCTGCAGTCTCCTCCCTCAGAAAATTGGTGGCTTGCGGTTTTCCTCATCACCAGTGATTCCCAATTCCATGTGCCTGAAAGAATAGCTGGTTGGGAGGGTTTAGCTATCCCAGCTGGCCACAGATGTTCTCTCTTCTTGTCCCTCTTCTCTCTTCCTCAGATTTTCTAGCTCTAGAAGGTTCTAGGTAGTCAAATTAGCTGGGACTGCCTTTACACAACAGGAATTCACAGTCTTGTGTTAAGCTGTAAATGAAGCTATAGGTTGAGACTGAGAGCCCAGGCTTATGCAGAAACAAGCAAGAGTACCCAACTAGCCTTTGGGGCAGAGGCAGGCTGACAGGCAGAAAAGGTAGCGCCTGTAGAGGAGGAGGAGTGAATTGGGAAGGTGAATAGGGAAGGGCTTTCTGTGCTTTGCTGCCTGCACATCCAAGATGAGGAGACTGAGGGATGAGCTGTGGGCTGGGTAGAAGGAATGTAGCTGGGTCTTGTGAGGAATTGAGGCCAAAACCTGAGCGGCCTTATCTGCAATGCTAATTGCTTCAAGTTTTATCATGAAAGCCAAGGGAAGTTATTGAAGGACTTTTTAAAAAGCATTAATTTTAATTATTTTCTTTCCTTAAAAATAATACATATTTCAAAGGAAATTTATAAAATATTAACATGAAAAGTAAAATAAATATTACTCATTACAACTAAAAATAACTACTTTGGATGTGTTTATTTCTTTTAGGTCTTTTAATAGATACTCATTTTTTCTCAAAAATGGAAATATATCATACATTTTGTTTTATAACTGCCAAAATTAGAAATATCTTTCATTTCTGGGCTAAACTTTGTACTTTATTTTAAAAGAATTTTTCAATGCAACTGGAAGGAAATTGCAGTAGAGCAGGAGTCAGAGACTCTCCTTATGGTTTACTGTCCTGTTAGAATTCCCTATAAAATTCAGTGCCCAGCAGTACCCCCAGGTGAAGGTGGGAATCTCCAATTATCTGAACTGGTCAGTGTCCCAAAACAGGCTTAGTTCATGACTCTGAGTATAGACGTATAACCAATATTTCAGAAATATTGTCAAGATGACGTCATATGTGAATAGACATTTAAAACAAGTTTAGGGGTAGCCATCTCTTCATAGCATTTGTCTTAGGATGTGGAAATTTTGGATCTTAATTATTGTTTTTCCATTAATCTCTTTGAAATGTTTGATATATTCTCTGAGCTGTATTTTTTGTCCTTTGCAAAATGGCGATAATTGAAGTGCCAAGCATGAAATGTAACATAAAAATGATGTTGGTCTATCCTACCGTGCAGTAGCTGAGTCAGCAAATAGGGAGGTTTTTCTGTATCTTTCTGGATAAGTAACTTAAAACCATTTAAGTAGCTATATTGTTATCTAGATGCCTATTTTGGTCAAGACATTGATTATATTCATAGCTGTGTCTTGTTTGCCTATAGGCCAAGCAGACCTTGACCCCGTGGGTTGGGCTTCGGAAGATCAATGTGTCTTACTGGTGCTGGGAAGATATGACCTCATTCACAAATAGTACAATACAGTGGATGCCATCTGAGCCCAGTGACGCCGGATTCTGTGGGATCTTGTCCGAACCCAGTCCTCGGGGCTTGAAGGCTGCAACCTGCATCAACCCACTCAATGGTAGTGTCTGTGAAAGAGAGGGTAAGTGTATGGGGAATTATGCATTTTGGAAGTTCACTGAAAGAGAAAATGTAGGAGGCATAGTGTTTATATGTATGAAATATTCATGAAAAACAGAGCATTGATTTCAAGTATATGAAGCAGAGTATAATCAAGAATTTTAAAAACAGAAGGACTATGGTACATTTACACAGTGGAATTCTATGCAGCAGAAAGAAAGAATGAGCTCCTATCCTTTGCAACAGCATGGACGGAATTGGAAAGCATTATGCTGAGTGAAATAAGCCAGGCGGTGAAAGACAAATACCATATGATCTCACCTTTAACAGGAACCTAAACAACAAAACAAACGAACAAGCAAAATATAACCAAAGACACTGAAATAGAGAACAGGCTGACAGTGACCAGAGGGGAGGGAATTTCAGGGGAAAAGGGGAAGGGTTTACAGGAACAAGTATAAAGGACACATGGACAAAAACCAAGTGGGGGGGTGCAAATGGGAGGGAGGTGGGGAGCACTGGGGGGGGTGGGCTGGGATGGGAGTAGAAGACAGACAACTGTACTTAAACAATAATTAAAATAAAAAAAAAGAAAGAAAAAAAACCCCAGAAGGATATAGTCTCTGGCTCTGAATAGTATGAGCCATAAGCCTAAACAAAAATAACTAACTACTCAAAGAACCTAATATTCTAATTAACAATCAGAATGATTGGTTTGTTGAGTACAAAAGTATTGCGACTGGCTCCAGAAGATAAATTTCTTGGTGTTGGCAGAGCAATGCTGTGGAAGAAAGAACCAGAAGTGCCAGTAAAAGCAAAGGAAAGGTCAGAACTGACAGTGGGGGACAAAGGGACAGCAGACAGAAAGATTGTGTCAGTGGGGAGAAGAACGATGAGAGCAGTCCTGCAACAAAGCAGAAGCAAGCCTGATGTGCCCAAGCTGTGCTTGAGTCCTGAGGGAACGAACATTGTGAGCAACTTCATGGGTTTGAATCTCTCCTCTGGGCTATATTTAGGCTTCCTAAAGGCAGGCATGGGGGCAGCACCTGCAGCACGCAGACCAGCCCAGGACAAGCGTCCTCCTCCTGCAGAGGGACTCACAAGTAATAGGTAGAATTTTCTGGGCACTTTTGGGAGACTGGACTCCATCATTTTAGGATGGTACCATATTGTAGGGAACACAGAGGTGTAAAGGAGAATTCATAGCACTGTAGGAGTCATTCTAAAGTTATGATTTCTAAACTTCCTGTAGGGGACCTTTTAGCCATTTGGATCCTGTGTGTTTTGGTGTATTTAGTGAATGCTGTGGTCTTTCTTTTCCAGAACATGCAAAGATATGATTCTGCATGTTCAAGTGGACTGTGAAAGCCCTGAAGTTCATTCTGGGTCCCCTGGATTGTAAGGAGCTTTAGAACCCCTACTTGAATGGAAAGATTACCTTGTTCCCACCTGTCTGTCCTTATGCTCTTTGAAAAGAAAAATATCTTTTCCCCCCAGATGTGTAAATATACTTGACTTAATAGTACAAGGTGACTCTAATGTTTCCTGTTTTCTCCTTCATTTAACATAGTCCACTGAATTGATTTCATGACATACTGGTGGGTCAAAACCCACACGGAAAAGCCTTTGACTTTAGCTGACATGGGGGGAGCTCTAAGTGTCTCTTGTGGGTTGACTTCCAGCAAACCACAGCAGCAAGCAGTGCCGGGTGCCGTGTGCCCTGAGGATGGCGTGTGGGGAGTGCACCAGTGGCAGCTCCGAGTGCATGTGGTGCAGCAACATGAAGCAGTGTGTGGACTCCAATGCCTATGTGGCCTCTTTCCCCTACGGCCAGTGTTTGGAGTGGTACACCATGAGCAGCTGCCCCCGTAAGTGAAACGTGAGCTCTAGGCACTAATTAGTGCCCTGTGTGCGAGTGACAACTGCTGCCGGGAGGCAGTGCTTTCAGCCTCTGAACAATTCAGGGACAAGACTCGACAGTCAGCTCAGGTCTGTCCATTGACTGCCTGATGAGAACCTTCACACAGCATTATGCACAGTGACACAAGGAAATAAATGTAAGATAGGTCTGTAGGTCTGTCTGTAAGACAGAGTACAGAGATAACTGCTCAACTTCAGTACCATATTGCTCATATAATAAGTGCTTTCCAGCAGGTGACCTCTAAGGTCCCTTCTGGCTCCAACATCCTGAGATTGAGAGAGAAGGGAGGAGTCTCTGCTATTGTAGACCAGGATACTGGGCTCTTCAAATTTATTATGTCATTTGAACAGTCACAATAGAATGGGAATTTTGACTCAACAGAAGTTGAATAGTCTGTTAAAGAAAAAGGTAATTACTAACTACAATGAATTCAGATCAACTTGTTTTGTTCTTTTTTTTTAACAGCTGGAAATTGTTCAGGCTACTGTACCTGTGGCCATTGCTTGGAGCAACCAGGCTGCGGCTGGTGTACCGATCCCAGCAATACTGGCAAAGGGAAATGCATAGAGGGCTCCTATAAAGGACCAGTGAAGATGCCTTCTCAGGCTCCTGTAGGGAATTTCTACCCACAGCCCCTTCTCAATTCCAGCATGTGTCTGGAGGACAGCAGATACAACTGGTCTTTCATTCATTGCCCGGGTAAGATGTCTTGTATAGTCAAAATTAAGTGTTTCACTACCTATTTGCAACAAATGAACCCTTGAAAGCCCTGGCCCGTGTGGCTCAGTTGGTTGGAGCATCATCCCATAAACCAAAAGATTGCAGGTTCAATTCCCAGTCAGGGCACATCCCTAAGTTGTTGGTTTTGTCCCCAGTTGGGGTGCATACAAAAGGCAATTGATTGATGTTTCTCTCTCACATCGATGTTTCTCTCCCCCCCTTCCCTTCTCTATAAAATCAATAAGCATGTCTTCAGGTGAGGATAAAAAAAAAACCTTGAAAGCTGTATTATTTACATGGATTTCCTTTAAAAATACATGTAACAGATCATTTGTGGAGAAATAGTTTTACATGGAAAATATTTTTAGTACCTGTTAACAAAAATACAAATAATTTCAAGTGAGTTGTTTTGTTAACATTGATTATAAAAGTAATGAAATAAGTTCACAATAAAAAACTAAATATTACAGATGTACATAAACTAAAAACTGAAATTCCTCTTCTCACCTCCATTTCTTCAGAGAGATACAAATTTTTACCAGTTTGATATAGATACTTCTAGACATACTAATGTGTATTTTTAAAACTAAAAAAATACTATGCATATGATATAGTTCTACAGTTTGTTTTTTATTTAAAAATACATCTTGGCAGTTGTTAGGAGAAAATTTAAAAATAAGGTCTCCAGTCAACCCATAAATTCCTCTCACAAATGTAGAAAAGAAAGAAAGAAAACAGCTTTATTATTGAAGCTTTAAGCAGACCGTGACGCATATCACAGGCAATCCACTAATGAGATTGCAAAGACCAGGCGAAATCTCCGCTTTTAAATAAACAACCAGGCAGATACAATCCATTATGTATGTGTTCTCAAAATGTATGATAATTTGTCCTCACGTGAGAGGATTTGGTGGCATGGTTTGCTGTACATTCTTTCATAGTTCATTGTGAATTTACCTGGTAATTGGGGTGGCCACCTGTGTTACATAATTGTGTTTATCTAAAGAACAAAATAAACCACATTGTGTCTTGGTTGGAACGTTATCCTGTGCTCCAAAAAGGTTGTGGGTTTCATACCTGGTCGAGCACATACATAGGTTGCAAGTTCAATCCCTAGTTAGGGCGGGTATGGGAGGCAACTGATCCATATCTCTCTCTCACATTGATGTCTGTCTGTCTGCCTGTCTCTCCCTCTCTCTTTCTCCCCCTCCCCTTTGTTCCTGCCCTCTACTCTTCCTCTCTCTCTAAAATCAATAAACATATTCTTGAATGAAGATTTTTTAAAAAAGGAAGGAATCAACCATGAGTTGGCCTAAAAGCCTGGACCTGCTGGGGAGGCTGCTTTGAGGAACTAATCCTGAGAAATAGGCCTTGATACAGACCTTCAGTAGATACTCAGGAATGTGCAGATGGGCCTCCAGAACAGCTGGGAGAGGTCAGGCAGGTGCAAAGACTCTCGGATTAGTGAGTGAGAACTCCAAGGTCCTTGCAGACAGCGTCACTGACAGCAGGGCTGTCTGTGAGTTCTGTAAGGGAAAGACCACTGTAAACAAAAATAAAAGGCAAGAGACAGACTGGGTGAAAATATCTGCAGTGTGTATGTCCAATGATTGCAGAGTATGTAAACCTCCCTCCAGGGGAAAAAGAAGAAGCTAAACGATATCCCAACAGAAGAAGTGGGCAAAGGTTGTAAATAAGTAGCCACACCATTTTGCATTCACTAGAGATGTAAAAAGGGCTCCGATTTCTTCACATCCTCATCAACACTTGTGTTCACCTTTTTTATTGTAGCTGTTCTAGTGTATGGGAAATGGTATCTCTCTGTGGTTTTGATTTCCATAATGACTGATGAAGTTGAGCATCTTATTGGCCATTTGTATGTCATATTTAGAAAAATGTCTATTCGAAGTCTTTGTCCATTTTTAAATTGCATTACTTGTCTTTTTATTATCAACCTATGAGAGTTTTTATGAATCCTAGATATAAGTCCCTTATTGAATATATTATTTGCAATATTTTCTTTCATTCTGTGTTTCTTTCTTGACAAAATCCTTTGAAATGCAAACATTTAAAATTTTGTAAGTGCAGTATATTTTCTTTTATCCCATGTGCTTCTGACATTGCATCTAAGAAACTGAGATCATAGAGATTTACTCTTTTCTTTTTAGTTTCATAGATTTATCTCTTATATTTCCGTTCATAATCCACTTTTTAAAAATTCTTTTTTATTTTTCCATTACCATTTGTCCCCTTTATACCTCCCTCCCCCTCAGTCACCAGGCTGTTGTCTGTGTCATAATCCACTTTTGAGTTAATTTTTATATGTGGTCTGGATAGGGGGTCAGATTCATCCTTTTACATGGTTATTCTGGGCTTCTGGCATTCCCATCTGAATTTTAGGATGAACTTGTCAATTTTGGCAACATCAACAAAAAGAGATTGCAATGAGGCAACAGACCAACTTGGGGTTTACTACCATCTAACAATATTAAGCCTTCCAATTTATGAGTCTGGAATGTTTTCCTATTTCTTTAGTTCTTACTTCCAGCAGTGTTTGATAGTTTTCAGTGTACATATCCTGTGCTTACTTTGTTAAATTTACTATACAAAGTATTTTAATTTTCCTAAAATGAAATTTTCTTAATTTCATTTGCTGGTTGTTCATTGCTAGTGTATAGAAATGCAGTTGATTTTTGTATGTTGATCTGGTGTGATGAAGCCTTGTTGAACTCACTTATTACTTCAGTTCATTTTTTAGTGTATTTCTTAGGGTTTTCTACATATAGGGTCGTGTTGTCTGCTAAGAAAGACAGTTTACTTTTTTCCAATCTTTTTATCCTCTTTAAAATTTATTTTTTGAAGTTTACTGGCCTGGCTAGAAACTCCAATATAATGTTGAATAAAAGTGGTGACAGTGAGCATCATTGTCTTTTCCTGAGCTTAGGGGGAAAGAATTCCATCTTTCTCCATTAAGTTTGATGTTGGCTTTAAGTTTTTCATACATGCCCTGTCATGAGAAATTTTTCTTTGGTTTCTAGCTTTTTGATGGTTCTTGTCATGATGAGTGCTAAATTTTGTTAAATGCCTTTATTGTATCTATTGTAATGATAATGTATGTTGTTTTTGTTCTGTCATGTAGTAATACTATGTATTAGTATTAGTATTAGTATGTATTATGTTAATTGACTTAAGGATATTAAACCAGCCTCGCATTTCTGGGATAAAGCCATTTGCTCATGCTGTATAATCCTTTTTAGCGTGTTGCTGGATTTAAGTTGCTAGTTGGGAATTTTGTATCTATATTCATGAGGGATATTTTTCTTTCTTGTGTTGTAGTTTTCTTTCTTGTGATGACTAGCTTTGGTATCAGGCTGCTATTGGCTTCACAGAGTGAGTTGGAAAGTATTCCCTCCTTTTCTACATGATGCGAGTTTGCAAAGGATTGGCAGTCTTTAAGTGTTGATAGAATTCATCAGTGAAGCCATCTGGGCCTGGACTTCTCTTTGTGTGAAGATCTTTGATTATTAATTTAACCTTTTTATTTATTATAATTCTTTTCAGATTTTCTGTTTCTGCTTGAGCCAGTTTTAGTAACCTGTGTTTTTTTAGGAGTTGTCTATTTCATCTAAATAATCAATGTTTTTTAAATCCTCACCCAAGGCTATGTTTATTGATTTTAAAAAGAGGGGGGGAGAGAGAGAGGGAGAGAAACAATGATGTGAAAGAGAAACATCAATTGATTGTTTCCCAAATGTGCCCCTACTGGGCATCCAGCCTGCAACCGAGATATGTGCCCTGGACCGTGGGTTGAATCTGCAACCTTTTGGTGTATAGACTGATGTGCTCACTGAGACCCCTGGCCAGGGCAGTAATCAAAATTTTTTTGGCATACAGTTCATAATATTTTCTTGAAGATAGCTTTTTGGCCATATGTGTTCTCCTTTTTAACCTATTGGTTTTTTGTTTTGTGTCTAATTTTGTTTTATCCTTTTTCATTTTGCAAAGTCACTAAATGTCATGAGGTTTTTTCAGAGCTTTCTTTCTTGGTTTATGAATACAATAATCTCTCAAGCCTCTTTTAATGCTAAAATTAGTATTTTTCATTCTCTTAAGTTTCTTGCATCAACCCTTTCTTCAGGGTTAGTTGCTCTTCATGTTTACCCAGGTGGTGCCTTTACATTGATGATTTTCTTACACTGGTTACTTTTCAAGATTGGTTTGTATTCATTATCACTATTGGGTGTACTGAGCTGTTGCAAAGGTGTGGTGTGATGATGTCCTAAGGGAGAGCCTGGCTGGCCAGTCACAGAGCTCTCTGGTCTGGTCTGCTCTATTTTTGCGTGGTCTGCATTTCTCCTTCAGTGGAAGAAGGAGGGAGCAACAGACCAAGTATTGGATACATTTGGCATGTTCATGGTTGTGCCAAGTGCCTCCCTGTCTTAGGATATTATAGCAACCTGAAGATAGCTGGGGTATTGCCCTGATTTATATTTCAGACTCCTGACTTCCCCTCCCCTACCCACCTCACAGACTGTTCTTTCCTACTGCAACACAGGACAGATGCCTCAGCAAGCTGTTGAGCAGATCATGAGGTACTTTCTGCTATCCATCACTCTTCCAAGGTCTGCTCTGGCTCCCAGCCTCTGCTGGATTGCCCAGGTGTCAATTAGTAAAGTGCCTGTAGTCACTTTGTCAGTTCCCTCCCTCTCCTACATTAGGATACAAGTGTCTCAACTCCTCTTTCTCACCAGATTGCCCATATCTGCTTTATAATTTCTAGAAATTCCTCAGTACTTTAGAAGTATCGCCCAATACTTTTTTTTTTTAATTTCCTTCCCTTGGCACCTCAAACCTAGCTTTTTTTTTTTTTTAAGATTTTATTTATTTACTTTTAGAGAGAGGGGATGGGAGAGAGAAAGAGAGGGAAACATCAGTGTGTGAGAGACACCAGTCAGTTGCCTCCCACATGCTCCACCATG